TAACATTTCCCAGATGCGCTTTCCCATCTTACTCTTTTCACAGTGTCCAACTAATGGCGTCATTTTCCATATTCCACTTTTTTCCATGTAAACTACAAACAAAATATTCATAGAACAAATAGATTAATACAAAAATATAGATAGAGAGAGGCACTGCTTTTCCATAAGCGATATTTTCCACTAATACTATTTTCCATAAACACTATTTTCTGTTCGCGCTTGGGGATGCAGGGATGCGGTGAGTTCGCGCTTGGTGCTGCGGGGAAGCGGTCAGTTCGCGCTTGGGGTTGTGGGGATGCTGTCAGTTCGCGCTTGGGGTTGTGGGGATGCTGTCAGTTCGCGTTTGGGGCTGCGGGGAAGCGGTCAGTTCGCGCTTGGGGTTGTGGGGATGCGGTCAGTTAGCGCTTGGGGATGCGGTCAGTTCGCGCTTGGGGATACAGTCAGTTCGCGCTTGGGGATACGGTCAGTTCACGCTTAGGGATGCGGTCAGTTCGCGCTTGGGGATACAGTCAGTTCGCGCTTGGGGATACGGTCAGTTCACGCTTAGGGATGCGGTCAGTTCGCGCTTGGGGATACGGTCAGTTCGCGCTTGGGGCTCCGGGGAAGCGGTCAGTTCGCGCTTGGGGTTGTGAGGATGCGGTCAGTTCGCGTTTGGGGCTGCGGGGAAGAGGTCAGTTCGCGCTTAGGGTTGTGGGGATGCGGTCAGTTCGCGTTTGGGGCTGCGGGGAAGCGGTCAGTTCGCGCTTGGGGTTGTGGGGATGCGGTCAGTTCGCGCTTGGGGTTGTGGGGATGCGGTCAGTTCGCGCTTGGGGATGCGGTCAGCTCGCGCTTGGGGATACAGTCAGTTCGCGCTTGGGGATACGGTCAGTTCACGCTTAGGGATGCGGTCAGTTCGCGCTTGGGGATACGGTCAGTTCGCGCTTGGGGATGCGATCAGTTCGCGCTTGGGGCTGCGGGGATGCGGTCAGTTCGCGCTTGGGGATGCGGGGATGCGGTCAGTTCGCGCTCAGGTATGCGGTCAGTTCGCGCTTGGGGATGCGGTCAGTTCGCGCTTGGGGATGCGGGGATGCGGTCAGTTCGCGCTCAGGTATGCGGTCAGTTCGCGCTTGGGGATGCGGGGATGCGGTCAGTTCGCGCTCAGGTATGCGGTCAGTTCGCGCTTGGGGACCCTCTAGCAAAATAGTGTTACTGACAGACGGACATGTCACACAAGAGGACATTCAGGGAAAGCATAAGTGCAACACTAATATAAAATGGAACATATGCAATAAAAAAACGAACGCAAAACGCAATCATGCAAAGCAAAGACCATTTAGTGTAAGGGTATACAATGCAAACAAACACGCAATATAAACACAACACAAAAATACAAGCAATGTAGACAAACAATGCAAAATATATGCAGCGGAGGCAGACATTCGACCCAATCATACAATCAAATTAAATCAATATACAACGCAAACAACCGCATATTGCAGATAGATTTCCAAACTGACATACATGGCTAACACACACGCCTGAGCAACACACATACTACCCAAACATACATGCAATATAAACAAACAAATAACCTTAAGACAAATAAATCTCACGATGCGGGGGATACATGGGGCGCCATCATTGCTAGTGCGACCCCAGGCTGCAGTTTACCGTCATGCCCAGGACGAGCGCGGGCACGGTGGGCGCCAGGAAGGTCCATTAGCCCGTGAGAGCGATCACATCACATTTCCCAAATGCATTTTCTCATCTTTCTCTTTGCACATCTAACCTAATACCGTCTACCTTCTGCCGTGTGGCCATTGAGCGTTTCATAAGGCGAGGTCCACGGCGGTGCCCGTCTCGTCGCCGATTCCGAATGACAGACGGATATGTCACACAAGAGGACGTTTAGCGAAAGCAAAAGACGCAAATATATGAACAATGCAAACAGACAAACAACGCAAAATATATGCATTTCAAGCAGACATGTCCTACTTGCAGTACTACCGTCAAGGGGGCAAGTTAATAAACCGTTGAGACTTTTTTCGTTCTCTGAAATTACAGCAAATGAGAAATGTCAGGACAAGGTGACTTATTCGTGTAATAAGATGCCTGGAGAATGATCTGAGGTGAGGACGGCACAGGGTCACGCATTTGACCTTGGACTCGAGGTCAAGGAGATTCCGAGAGAACTAAGAAATCCGAGTTGCAAGAGGGGGTATATGAGTTTTTCGCAAAGAGCTTGCAACTGTGTCGGATCTGTGTCGTGTGTCTGTCGACGGATCTCTTTATCTCGTTATCTTTCTTATCGCTCGTGTTCGGTAGCGACTCGGCTTCCCCTTTCCTCCCCCCCCCCCCTACTTCCCCATCCTTCCCCTTTGCTGATGCATCCGTGTGTGTGTGCTTGGGGCTGCGGGGATGCGGTCAGTTCGCGCTTGGGGATGCGGTCAGTTCGCGCTTGGGGATGCGGTCGGTTCGCGCTTGGGGATGCGGTCGGTTCGCGCTTGGGGATGCGGTCGGTTCGCGCTTGGAGATGCGGTCAGTTTGCGCTTGGGGATGCGGTCGGTTCGCGCTTGGGGATGCGGTCGGTTCGCGCTTGGAGATGCGGTCAGTTCGCGCTTGGGGATGCGGTCAGTTCGCGCTTGGGGATGCGGTCAGTTCGTGCTTGGGGATGCGGTCAGTTCGCGCTTGGGGATACGGTCAGTTCGCGCTTGGGGATGCGGTCGGTTCGCGCTTGGAGATGAGGTCAGTTCGCGCTTGGGAATGCGGTCAGTTCGCGCTTGGGGATGCAGGGATACAGTCAGTTTGCGCTTGGGGCTGCGGGGCTGCGGTCAGTTCGCGCTTGGGGATGCAGGGATACAGTCAGTTCGCGCTTGGGGCTGCGGGGATGCGGTCAGTTCGCGCTTGGGGATGCGGTCAGTTCGCGCTTGGGGATGCAGGGATACAGTCAGTTCGCGCTTGGGAATGCGGTCAGTTCGCGCTTGGGGATGCTGGGATGCTATCAGTTCGCGCTTGGGGTTGCGGTCAGTTCGCGCTTGGGGATGCGGGGATGCGGTCAGTTCGCGCTTGGGGCTGCTGGGATGCGATCAGTTCGCGCTTGGGGCTGCGGGGATGCGGTCAGTTCGCACTTGGGGCTGCGGGGATGCGATCAGTTCGCGCTTGGGGATGCGGTCAGTTCGCGCTTGAGGATGCGGTCAGTTCGCGCTTGGGGCTGCGGGGATGCGGTCAGTTCGCGCTTGGGGCTGCTGGGATGCGATCAGATCGCGCTTGGGGATGCGGTCAGTTCGCGCTTGGGGCTGCGGGGATTTTTCTCCATTTCCCCGCGAAATTAACACTATTTTCCATAAGCACTATTTTCCTTTAACACTGTTTTCCATTAACACTATTTTTCATTAGCACTATTTTCCATTAACACTATTTTCCATAAGCACTATTTTCCATTAACACAATTTTCCATTTACACTATTTTCCATAAGCACTATTTTCCATTAACATTATTTTCCATAAGCACTTTTTTCCATTAACACTATTTTCCATTAACACTATTTTCCATCAACACATTAACACGATGTGGGCGGCACACCACATTAGAAAGTTCACTGTCCTATGAAATAAAAATCTTTATAGCATGCAATATGAATAAAATAAGGAGGCAAGTAAACAAACCTCTTGAAACGGAGGAATACAGTAATAATAGCTTACTATCAGGTTACTGTAAAGGGGCGAAATATATAGTAGTAGTATTAAAATAGCTAGGGAAATAGAATGCTAAATGTAAGCAAGAACCACAAAAATCCAGACATATTTAAATATGCATGCGAAATACGCATACCGACATGGAAACAAAGAAGCAAGCACTCTAAGCGAGGCTAGCATACCATGCATATGCTTGAAGTCATACTTGACACGGGATGTATGTGTTGCTAGCCTCACTCAGGCGACCCCTGGACGCATATCATGGGCAAACAAAATTATGAATGCGATCGCACCGCAATGTTCATGGAAAACGGGAAGCAAGTCAATAGTAAAACACATAATCATGACAAAGAAACACGAAAATACGCTTGACATTAGACACGGTGATGCGTGTAAAATGCATTATTTCGCTAGCCTCGCTCAAGTGACCCCAGTGTGCAGTTTGACACACACGTGGGCATGCACACGAAGCATATAATATTTCGTAAAATGCAGTTTTCCGTAAATCATATTTCACAAAGTGAACCACTTTTTGCAAAATGAATGATTTTCCTTTAACAGTTTTCCATTAACGGCACTATTTTTTTCACTAAATGCACAATTTCCTGTTAATTGCGTTATTCTCCATCAGATGCACTAGTTTCCAAATTGAACCATTTTCCACGAATAATATTCTAATAAATACGATATTTCTACTAACTGCAATATCCTTTTTCTACAAACACTATTTTTCGTCAGGTGCGCCGTTTTCTATTTTTGGCAAAATGTAAAATTCCCCAAACATGCATTTTTTTCACCAAATTCCTAATCCTCTTTCCCCCAAAGCCAAGAAGAGCGGTTAAGAATGACCAGATCTGCGGAGGTCCATTCGCCAAGAGTTCTGGGAGAAGGGCTTTTCTTATCCCTGTACTGGCGCCATGTACTATTTGGGGTCGCTATTATCTGGCTCTGGCAGATGTTTTTTTTTTAGGGCAGATGCCCTTTCTTAGTGCATCTAACCCGCCTCTCCTACTTCTTTTCATTCTTTTGATGTAATTTTGTCCCATTATTGAAGTCGCTATATAAACGTTACGGCTTCCAACCCTCTCCATTTACCCGGGCTTGGGACCGGCACTGGAGTAGGCTGACTTGCCCACTCAGTGGCTAGATTAACTCGGCCTCTCCTTCTCAACAATTAATTACATTATACAATATATCTCATAGGTCACATTATATCGTCTTATGTATTACATTATACATTACTGTACATCACACATGATACATATATCTTTTATTTTCCCCTCTCCCTTCATATCTCACGCAGTAAACTATGGCTGCACAAGGAGCTAGTTCAACATCCCACGGCTGGTTTTTATAACACAAATATGGAGACACTGACAACGTCCACCTTCTGCCGTGTGGCCATTGAGCGTTTCATAAGGCGAGGTCCACGGCGGTGCCCGTCTCGCCTCCGGTTCCAAATGGACGTTGACTTTCTTCGGCCCTCGAGCATCCTTGCTGACAGACGGACATGTCACACAAGAGGACATTGAGCGAAAACGCACGTGCAACACTGATATAACACGGAACATGTATGCAATAAAAAAACATGCACAAAACGCAATTATGCAAAGCAAATAGATCATCCAGTGCTAGGATATACAACGCAAACAAACCCACTGTCCAAGCATTCGCAATACAAGCAAACGTAACACGCAAGCATACAAGCAATACAGAGAAACAACATAAAACATATGCAATGAAGGCAGACATCCGACATAGTCATACAATTAAAGTAAATCAACATAGTGACGTGATTTTCCATATTATACCCCTTTTTTATGTAATCTACTTTTCACTTTACATTAATCTATCCCGCCAAACACACAGGTCCTAAAATGTACCTTTTCCAAAACAATATACTCGCACATCATAGGTCACTGCATATCGTCTCATGTAATACACCATCATCATCAAACGGAAAGTTCAAAGCAAACCGCCGTGGCTCACCATTTAGCACTATCTTGAGCCAGTCTAAACAGGTTTACGATACTTCTGCCACCCACAATTTCCTTGCTGTTATCACTATATCTTACTTTCTACCTCTCATGCCATACACACTACTTGTAAAGTTCACAGCAAGTATCATTGCTTTTCTAATCTTTCCTTACAAGCCATCTTTTCCAGACCATTGCATTTCTAGCAGTGCATAATCATCTTCTAATTTCCCTTGTGTCATCATAATTATCCGTAATTAAAGCACCAAGATTTAAAAAAAATCGTGATCATTCACCGTTATGAATTTTCTCTAATTGTTTTAATACACTATACATATCGTACAAATATATCATTTCTCTTCCCACATTTTCCCTTATTTCTCCTGCAGTAAACTCCTGCTGCAGGAGAGATTAGTTCGACATCCCGCGGCCTAGAGGCACTGACACCGTCCACCTTCTGCCGTGTGGCCATTGGCCGTTTCATAAGGCGAGGTCCACGGCGGTACCCGTCTCGTCGCTGGTTCCGAACGGACTTTGTGCTTTCTTCTGCCTTCTAGCATCCTTACAGACAAATGGGCATGTCACACAAGAGGACATTCAGCGAAAAGGCAAGTTTTATAAAACGGAACATGTATGCCATAAAAAAAAACATTAACAAAACGCAATCATGCAAAGTAAATAGACCATCTATTGCAAGGATATACAACGTAAACAAACCCCTTGCTCAAGAATACACGTAATGCAAACAAATAAAACACGCAAACTTACAAGCAATGCAGGTTAATAACGCAAATAATACGCAGCGAAGGCAAACATCCGACGCAATCATACAATCAAATTAAATCAACATACAACGCAAACAACTACATATTGCAGAAATATTTGCAAACTCCCATAGCTGACTAACATACATGCCTGTGCAACAGACATACTACCCAAATATACATACAATACAAACAAACAATCCTAAGACAAATAGACCTGCTGCGGGGATACTACTACTGTTATTGCTCTTGCTACCACTACTATTACTACTGCTATTGCTACCACTACTACTACTACTACTGCTATTGCTCTTGCTACCACTACTACTACTACTACTGCTATTGCTACCACTACTACTACTGCTATTGCTACCACTACCACTACTACTACTGCTATTGCTCGTGCTACCACTACTACTACTACTGATATTGCTATTGCTACCACTACTACTACTACTACTGCTATTGCTACTACTACTACTACTGCTATTGCTCGTGCTACCACTACTACTACTACTGCTATTATTCGTGTTACCACTACTATTACTACTACTACTGCTATTGCTCGTGCTACCACTACTACTACTACTGCTATTGTTCGTGTTACCACTACTATTACTACTACTACTGCTATTGCTATTACTACCACTACTACTACTACTCCTATTGTTCGTGTTACCACTACTACAACTACTACTACTGCTATTGCTCATGCTACCACTACTACTACTACTGCTAATTCTCGTGCTACCACTACTAGTACTACTGCTATTGCTCATGCTACTACTACTACTACTGCTATTGCTCATGCTACCACTACTACTACTATTACTGCTATTGCTCGTGCTACTACTACGACTGCTATTGCTCGTTCTATCACTACTACTACTACTACTGCTAATTCTCGTGCTACCACTACTAGTACTACTGCTATTGCTCATGCTACTACTACTACTACTGTTATTGCTCGTGCTACTACTACTACTACTGCTATTGCTCGTGCTACCACTACTACTACTATTACTGCTATTGCTCGTTCTATCACTACTACTACTACTACTGCTATTGCTCATGCTACTACTACTACTACTACTACTGCTATTGCTCGTGCTACCACTACAACTACTACTGCTATTGCTCGTGCGACCACTACTACTACTACTACTGCTATTGCTCGTGCTACCACTACTGCTACTATTACTACTACTACTGCTATTGCTCGTGCTACCACTACTACTACTGCTATTGCTCGTGCGACCACTACTACTACTGCTGCTGCTATTGCTCGTGCTACTACTACTACTACTGCTATTGCTCGTTCTATCACTACTACTACTACTACTGCTATTGCTCATGCTACTACTACTACTACTGCTATTGCTCATGCTACTACTACTACTACTACTACTGCTATTGCTCGTGCTACCACTACAACTACTACTGCTATTGCTCGTGCGACCACTACTACTACTACTACTGATATTCCTCGTGCTATTGCTCGTGCTACCACTACTACTACTACTGCTATTGCTCGTGCTACCACTACTGCTACTATTACTACTACTACTGCTATTGCTCGTGCTACTACTACTACTACTGCTATTGCTCGTGCTACCACTACTACTACTACTGCTGCTATTACTCGTGCTACCAGTACTACTACTACTGCTGCTATTGCTCGTGCTACCACTACTGCTACTATTACTACTACTACTGCTATTGCTCGTGCTACTACTACTACTGCTGCTATTGCTCGTGCTACCAGTACTACTACTACTGCTGCTATTGCTCGTGCTACCAGTACTACTACTACTGCTGCTATTGCTCGTGCGACCACTACTACTACTACTACTGCTATTGCTCGTTCTATCACTACTACTACTACTGCTATTGCTCGTGCTACCACTACTACTACTACTGCTATTGCTCGTGCTACCACTACTACTACTACTGCTATTGCTCGTGCTACCACTACTACTACTGCTGCTGCTATTGCTCGTGCTACTACTACTACTACTGCTATTGCTCGTGCTACTACTACTACTACTGCTATTGCTCGTGCTACTACTACTACTACTGCTCGTGCTACTACTACTACTACTGCTATTGCTCGTGCTACCACTACTACTACTGCTATTGCTTGTGCTACCACTACTACTACTACTGCTATTGCTCGTGCTACCACTACTACTACTGCTGCTGCTATTGCTCGTGCTACCACTACTACTACTGCTATTGCTCGTGCTACCACTACTACTACTACTGCTATTGCTCGTGCGACCACTACTACTACTGCTGCTGCTATTGCTCGTGCTACTACTACTACTACTGCTATTGCTCGTGCTACTACTACTGCTGCTGCTATTGCTCGTGCTACCACTACTACTGCTATTGCTCGTGCGACCACTACTACTACTACTAATGCTATTGCTCGTGCTACTACTACTACTGCTATTGCTCGTGCTAACACTACTACTGCTACTGCTATTGCTCGTGCTAACACTACTACTACTACTGCTATTGCTCGTGCTAACACTACTACTACTGCTATTGCTCGTGCTACTACTACTACTACTGCTATTGCTCGTGCTACCACTACTACTACTGCTATTGCTCGTGCTACCACTACTACTACTACTGCTGCTATTGCTCGTGCTACCACTACTACTACTGCTATTGCTCGTGCTACCACTACTACTACTACTGCTGCTATTGCTCGTGCTACTACTACTACTACTGCTATTGCTCGTGCTACCACTACTACTACTGCTATTGCTCGTGCTACTACTACTACTACTGCTATTGCTCGTGCTACCACTACTACTACTGCTATTGCTCGTGCTACTACTACTACTACTGCTATTGCTCGTGCTACCACTACTACTACTGCTATTGCTCGTGCTACCACTACTACTACTACTGCTGCTATTGCTCGTGCTACCACTACTACTACTGCTATTGCTCGTGCTACCACTACTACTACTACTGCTGCTATTGCTCGTGCTACCACTACTACTACTGCTATTGCTCGTGCTACCACTACTACTACTACTACTGCTATTGCTCGTGCTACTACTACTACTGCTATTGCTCGTGCTACCACTACTACTGCTGCTATTGCTCGTGCTACTACTACTACTACTGCTATTGCTCGTGCTACCACTACTACTACTACTGCTGCTATTGCTCGTGCTACCACTACTACTACTGCTATTGCTCGTGCTACCACTACTACTACTACTACTGCTATTGCTCGTGCTACTACTACTACTGCTATTGCTCGTGCTACCACTACTACTGCTGCTATTGCTCGTGCTACTACTACTACTACTGCTATTGCTCGTGCTACCACTACTACTACTGCTATTGCTCGTGCTACTACTACTACTACTGCTATTGCTCGTGCTACTACTACTACTACTGCTATTGCTCGTGCTACCACTACTACTACTGCTATTGCTCGTGCTACCACTACTACTACTACTGCTGCTATTGCTCGTGCTACTACTACTACTACTGCTATTGCTCGTGCTACTACTACTACTGCTATTGCTCGTGCTACCACTACTACTACTGCTATTGCTCGTGCTACCACTACTACTACTGCTATTGCTCGTGCTACCACTACTACTACTGCTATTGCTCGTGCTACTACTACTACTACTGCTATTGCTCGTGCTACCACTACTACTACTACTACTACTACTGCAATTGCTCTTGCTACTACTACTACTACTGCTATTGCTCGTGCTACCACTACTACTACTGCTATTCCTCGTGCTACTACTACTACTACTGCTATTGCTCGTGCTACTACTACTACTGCTGCTATTGCTCGTGCGACCACTACTACTACTACTACTACTACTACTGCAATTGCTCTTGCTACTACTACTACTACTGCTGCTATTGCTCGTGCGACCACTACTACTACTACTACTACTACTACTGCAATTGCTCTTGCTACTACTACTACTACTACTGCTATTGCTCGTGCTACCACTACTACTACTCCTGCTATTACTCGTGCTACTACTACTACTAATGCTATTGCTCGTGCTACCACTACTACTACTACTACTGCTATTGCTCGTGCTGCTATTACTACTACTACTGTTATTGCTCGTGCTACCACTACTACTACTACTGCTATTACTCGTGCTACTACTACTACTACTAATGCTATTGCTAGTGCTACCACTACTACTGTTACTGCTCGTGCTGCTACTAGTACTACTACTGCTATTGCTCGTGCTACCACTACTGCTGCTACTACTACTAATGCTATTGCTCGTGCTACCACTGCTACTGCTATTGCTCGTGCTACCACTACTACTACTACTGCTATTTCTCGTGCTACCACTACTACTGATATTGCTCGTGCTACCACTACTACTATTACTGCTATTGCACTACTGTTATCACTACTGCTATGGCTACTACTATTGCTACTATCACTACAGTGGAAGGACACTACGAACGATAAAAGCAGCAATGTTAGACCTTCAAAAGGACTATTACTGTCTTATCTGAAGGGGAGTCAACGGGATCCCTAATTTCAATGTTCACCTGGTCCCTAAGCCTCTCCTGCCTCACGGGAGATTTGAATTCGGGCTCCTCTGTACGGAGGGTACGTGGCCTTGAGCTAGGAGTATACCTTACACTGCCCAAACAGACATGCAGTGCCAACAAACAAACAACCTTCAGACAAATAAACCTCACGATGCGGGTGATACATGGGGCGCCATCATTGCTAGTGCGACCCCAGGCTGCAGTTTAACGTCATGCCCAGGACGAGCTCGGGCACGGTGGTCGCCAGGAAGGTCCATTAGCCCGTGAGAGCGATTACTTAACATTTTCCAGGTGCGCTTTCCCATCTTTCTTTTTGCACAGTGTCCCTCTAATGACGTGTTTCCATATTATACTCTTTTTCCATAAAGCTACTTTTCACACACTAGGTGATACCTTACACAATTAACATGTCAAGGACGCCCTTGTATACAAACAATCATATATAGAACAAATATATTTAAAATATATACACTATTTTCCTTTGCCATTATTTTCCATAATCACTATTTTCCATTAACACAATTTTCTATAAGCACTTTTCCATTAACACTATTTCCATTAACACCGTTTTCCATAATCACTATTTTCCATTAACACTATTTTCTATAAGCACTTTTCCATTAACACTATTTCCATGAACGCTATTTTCCATTAGCACAATTTTCTCTTAACACTAATTTCTACTAACACTGTTTTCTATAAGCACTATTTTCCATTAACACCATTTTCCATAAGCACTATTTCGATTAAAACTATTTCTTCATAAGCACTGTTTTTTCCCATTTTTCCATTAACATATTTTTCGATAAGCACTACTCTCCATAAGAACTATATTCCATAAGCACTGTTTTTCCATTAGGGCGATTTTCCACATTTTCACGTCTCCGGTTCCGAATGGACGTTGACTTTGTGCTTTCTTCTGTCCTCTAGCATCCTTGCTGACAGATGGACATGTCACACAAGAAGACGTTTAGCGAATAACAAATATGCAATACAAAACATACACAAAACACAAAGAGAACATGCAGAGCAACTATATACAACACAAACATGCATGCAATGCAAGCAACGGCACTCATACAGTACGAATAGTAACACAACGAAATATGCAGTACAAACAGACATACAACGTAAAACATACATGAAATACAAGCAGACCACAGTGCAAGGTTACACGCATTACAAAAGACGCAAATATATAAGCAATGCAAACAGACAAACAACGCAAATTATATGCATTTCAAGCAGACATCCAACCTAACCATACACAATGCGTAAAACATACATACAACGTGATCATAAAAGCAATGCAAACAAACCTAATAGGCAAACATACAGGCAAACAATGCAAACTACATGCAGCGCAAGCAGACTTCCAACCCATTCATACAGTCAGTGAAAACAGACACACATCAGTTATTATATATGTACTATTTACCATACAATGCACTGTTCTCAGTTTGTACTATTTTTTGCTAAATAAAGATATTTCCTATTTTTCACAAACTACACTTGTTTTCACATGCAGTACTTTCCATAAGCACTATTTTCCATTAACACTGTTTTCTATATGAACTATTTTCCACCAACACTATTTCCATTAACAATATTTTCCATAAACACATTTTCCATAAGCGCTGTTTTTCCATAAGCGATATTAGGTGGAAGGCAACGGGAAACCACCTTGGTACACTCCCTTGTACAACCATGAAATTAATGGTCGCCAACGTCAGGCTCAGACATGGCACAAAAAATATATGCGTATGTTCATTGATAGACATTTTGCCGCCATTAACACTATTTTCCATAAGCACTATCTTCCATTAACACAACTTTCTATAAGTACTTTTCCATTAACACGTCATTAACGTCATGCCCAGGACGAGCGCGGGCACAGTGGGCGCCAGGAAGGTCCATTAGCCTGTGAGAGCGATCACATAACATTTTCCAGATGCATTTTCTCATCTTTCTTTTTGCACATCGAATCTGATACCGTCCGTCTTCTGCCGTGTGGCCAGTGAGCGTTTCCTAAGGCGAGGTCCACGGCGGTGCCCGTCTCGTCGCTGGTTCCGAATGGACGTTGACTTTGTGCTTTCTTTTGCCTTCTAGCATCCTTGCTGACAGACGGACATGTCACAAAAGAGGACGTTTAGCGAAAGCGCAAATGTAATTGATATAACAGATATGCAATACAAACCATACACAAAACACAAAGAGAACATGCAGAACAAGTATATACAACACAAACTCACATGCAATACAAGCAAATAAAGCAAGCAACGGTACGCATAAAGTACAAATAGTAACACAACGAAATACGCAGTACAAAGACATACAACGCAAAACATACATGAAATACAAGCAGACCCACAGTGCAAACATACACGCATTACAAGATGCAAATATATAAACAATGCAAACAGAGAAACGACACAAAATATATGCATTTCAAGCACACATCCAACCTAATCATTCACAATGCGCAAAACATACATACAACGTAATCATACAAACAATGCAAACAGACATAATAGGCAAACATACAGACAGACAATGTAAAATACATTCAGAGCAAGCAGACTTCCACCCCATGCATACAATTAGTGAAAAGAGACACAAATCAATTATTATATATGTACGATTTACCATACAATGCACTGTTCGCTGTACTATTTTATTGTAAATAAACGATATTTTCATAAGAACTATTTACCACTAACTACACTTCTTTTCACATGAAAAAAAATTCTATTAACACTATTTTCTATAAGAACTATTTTCCGTCAACACTACTTTCCATAAGCACTTTTTTCCACAAGAACTATTTTCAATAAGCACTGTTTACCCATAAGCACTGTTTTCCATAAGCGCTATTTTCCACTAACACTATTTTCCACTAACACTATTTTCCGGTAAATACACTATTACATAACAGTACTCACATACTGTTAAAAAAACATGGTCCCCAACGTCAGGCTCTGATACGGCACAAAAAAAAAAAAAAACTCACATACATCGACAAGAGGAATTATTCGTGTAATAATTTTCCTTCAACACTATTTTCCATTAACACTGTTTTCTATAAGAACTATTTTCCACCAACACTACTTCCATTAACAATATTTTCCATAAGCACATTTTCCACAAGAACTATTTTCCATAGGCACTGTTTACTCATAAGCACTGTTTTTCCATAAGCGATATTTTCCACTAACACTATTTTCCATAAACACTATTTTCCGACAAATACACTATTTATATAACAGTACTTTCATGCATCGACTTCAGTAAGCGTCGCTGAACACCTCCACTCGGCCGACGCTCAGAAGCTCTCTTATTACGAAGAGTTCATCGTGTGCAACGGGCATGTCCTACTTGCAGTACTACAGTCGAGTGAGAAAAGTCGTCAAGAGACAAATTAATAACCCTTAAGACTTTTTTTCGTTCTCTGATATTACAGCAAATAAGGGCCAGAACAAGAGGAACTATTCGTGTAATAAGATGCCTGGAGAATGATCACAAAAAATATATGCGTATGTTCACTACTTCAGGGTGCCATTGATAGACATTTTGCTGCCATTAACACTATTTTCCATAAGCACTGTTTTCCATTAACACAATTTTGTATAAGCAATTTCCCGTTAACAATATTTTCCATTAACACTTTCTCATTAACACTATTAACATTATTTTCCATAAGTACTGTTTTCCATTAACACTTTTCCATCAACACAACTTTCTATAAGCACTTTTC